TATTTTTGTGCCATATATTTTACAAAATTATATGTAAGAGTTGAAGTGACACTTTTTAATAAACTATTCATGAGTCTCAAATAATTCGAGGCCGAGGAGTAGCACTAACAAATTCAAAGTGGCAAAAGAGAACGAAAAATAGGAAGAATTCTTGTCTATCCGATGAATTTTAAGAATGTACAATCAGGTAATAACATTAACCATTATTTAAGGGTCGTTTGAAATTATTTTTGAAAAGTCAAAATGAATTTTTGAGACCCAAAAATAGCTAATGGTCTTAACGTGACTTCTTATAAAAACACTTCTGAATTAGGAACTGCATTTAAAAATTAATTTTCAAACAAAAATTTAGGTACATTCTTCCAAGAACTCTTCTATAGAAAGCAAAAACAAAAGTAAAAGACATGACAAACGGACTCTTACGTTTTTCCTTTTTTTGGTTTAACTTAGAGGAGGGTGTGTTTGAGTCACATTATTTTGGAAGAATGTATTCTGGAATAGTAGATTGATGAAGAATTTGTGGTTGAAAAAGAAAGAAAAGTTATTGATGTGATGAAAAATATTATTTTATTGAAAAATGTGTGGTTGAAAATGAGTTGAAAAATGAGAATGAAAATTCTAATGTGTACCAAACAGGGGCTAAATTTGTTTTTTTTTTCGAGAATCGAAAATAACGTAGGATGTGTTCTTACTTTTGAGGATAATTATTATTCATGAATGTCCCAAGTTAATGAATTGTTTGTAAATTGTGATGCGAACACACTTTTGTTTTTTTAAGTCTCAAAAAAGTTTTCTACTTATACAAAAAAATATTACTTAACAAAATCGTATACATTGTAATCAAAAAAGAATTTAGCCAAAGACAGTACTACATTTATGGAGACACCGACCAAGAGAAACCTCAGCATAATGCTTGCTATATTGGCCTCTCACAGAATTTGACTTTTAAGTTGACTTTCTTAATTTCAAGTGAGCTCGTGGACCTCTGTGGTACAGCATGGTCCAACTTGTATGAGTATTGTTACTCAATCTCACAGGAGTCGAAGTCCAGTCTACGTGGCTGGACAATCAACATCCTACGTGATGAAATTTTAAATTGTTTTTGAAGAAAAAAGTGATTCATGCGTTTTCCAAAATAAAATCATACTCTTCAACTTCCTTATGGCACTAAAGAATGAGATCAAACACTTTCCCAATTTGTTCATTCACTGTATCAGCCATCATCACCAAAGAAGAAACAATTAAGACACATAAGGAGCAACCCACCTTCGATTTCGAGGAATATATGATTGAAAAGGTCAATTATGTGAACAAGGCATTGGATGAGGTGTTTCAGTAAAGAACCCACCAAAGATCCACGAAGCAAGGTGGTATTCTTTGTTGGCAGGTGGCAAGAGGGTGCGCCCAATGTTATGTATCGCAGCCTGTGAGCTAGTGGGCAAGTCAGCTGACATACCCGCTGCTTGCGCGGTGGAAATAATCCATACTATGTCACTTATTCATGATGATTTGGCCTTCAAATTTATCGTTACTATCGCCAACGGTGTCCCACAAAGTTAGGTTCTTGCGACCGTAGAAGAGTTGGCCAATGCCATTTATTAGATTTGGAAAGATAGAGTTATGATAAAATCAATTTGAGGAGAATCTGAATTTTATATTCAATTACGCCTTGAATAATTGTTATGAATCATACAATGAGCTGTCCAAAATTTATACAGCAATATGGAATCAAATCCTAACTAACTCACTAACAAATTTACATATCAATTTGCGCTCAAACAAAATCTGTACAAAGAGAAACTATCTAACAAATTTCCTTCTAGATTATTCTTATTGATGCCTTGTCATCAATCCTTGTTGGCTCCTCTTCCTGTTGACTGTGCTCCAGCTGGTATTCATTCTGCTGATTTAATAGTCCCCCGCAAGATGGAGAGTAAATATTCATTACTCCCATCTTGGATAAACATGAATAGAAACTTTGGGAATTCAAGACTTTAGTTAGGATATCTACAATCTGTGATGTACTTGGAACGTGTTGAGTAATAATCATCCCAATTTGTATCTTGTCTCGAACCAAATGGCAATCAAGCTCAATGTGCTTGGTTCTTTCATGGAATACCTGGCTATGTGAATAGCTTATTTATTGTCACAGTTCAGGATGGATGGTTGAAAAAGCTCAATGTTTAGATCCTTAATTAAATATCCAAGCCAAGTAAGTTCACAGCAAAGATTCGCCATTGCTCTATATTCTGCTTCCGCCGAGGATTTGGACACCACATGTTATTTCTTTGACTTCCATGATATTAAAGCTTTACACAGTACCCAGTCACTGATCTTTTGCTATCAATACACGCCCCCTAATCTGAATCACAACAACCTTCCAGCTGCAGTTTTGAATTTGTAGGGCAAAATAGTCCCTGTCCAGGTGCTCTTTTAATGTACCTCAGTAACTTGTGGGCGGTATGTAGATGTGGAATTCTAGGACTTCCCATAAACTGACTTAACAATTGAATTGAATATGTGGGATCAGGTTTGGTAATTGTTAAATATAGTAGTCTTCCTACCAGCCTTCTGTAGAGGGATGGATCAGGCAATAACTCACCTTCATCTTTGCTGAGTTTTATGTTCTGATCAAGAGGTATCCTGGCTGGAGCTGAACCTATAGTTCCTGAATCTACCAAGATGTCAAGTGCATATTTCCTTTGGCATATATGTATGCCATCCTTGGACCTTCCTACCTCGATACCCAAAAAATATTTCAATCTTCCCAGATCTTTAATTTTGAACTTTTCATTGAGAGAGGCTTTGAGTTTGCTGATTGAATCATGACAATTGCCAGCCATTATTATATCATCTACATAGATTAAAATAGCAGTAAAATCATCACCAGTTAGCTTAGTGAACATGCAGTAATCTGCCTTTGATTGAGTATACCCCTACTCAACAATGAAGCCAGAGAGTTTTGAATACCATTGGCATGAAGTTTGCTTCAATCCATACAAACTCTTACGTAGCTTGCACACTTTATTCCTGCTGGTATTGGGGTAACCAGGTGGCAATTCCATATAGACATCCTCATCCAAATCACCATGCAAAAATGCATTGTTAACATCGAATTGGCACAGACTCCACCTCTTCATTGCTGCCACTGCCAATAGAGTTCTGATTGTAGTTAGTTTTACCACAGGAGAGAAGGTCTCGTGATAGTCAAGCCCTTCTAATTGAGTGTAACCTTTTGCTACTAGGCTTGCCTTGAATCTTTCAACACTGCCATTAGCATTGAACTTGATCTTATATACCCACTTACATCCTATGACCTCTTTATCAGGTGGTAGATTGGTCAAAGACGCGAAAACGAGATTCATGGCGGCACACCATTCAGGTGAGGTTATGGCTTCTTGGTAAGTTTTAATTACATCCTATGGCCTCTTTATCAAGTGGTAAATTGGTCAAAGACCAAGTGTCATTAAGTTCAAGGGCTTCAACTTCAGCTTTCATGGCGGCACACCATTCAGGTGAGGCTATGGCTTCTTGGTAAGTTTTAGGTTCAGAGTGATTTGTTATAGAGGTAGCAAAAAGCGATGAGGGATGGATAATTTTTCATAGGAAATACCATTATTAAGAGGGAACTTGTTACCTGTGACACCAAAGTCCTTTCTGTTGTAAAGCTTCTGGAATGGGAGAGATGAAGAAGCCTGTTGACACATGAAGTTTTGCAGGTGAGGGGCAGTCCTTCGAATCCTGTTTGACCTGCAGGGTAAGTGAGTAGTGACAGGTTTATTTGATTATAAAGGTTCAGTGGCTGAGTTAGGAGATTCTGTGATGTTGAGATCAGTGTCTTTATGAGAATTAGAAGATTCTTTATAGGATGGATTATCTGAAGTGTCATGCTGATTTGTAGGACATTATCGAATGAGGAGGTCACAGGAGGATCATCAAAGGTCACAGGAGAGTCATTAGAGGTCATGGGAGAGTCAAGACTTAGAAGATTAAGATCAGTTAAGGAAGTATTGTCACTGGGATCCATGCTTTTGAATGGAAAAATGTCTTCGTGAAAGATAACGTTTTTTAAAATGAAAACCTTTTTTGTTTTCAAGTCCAGGAGCCTATATCCCTTAACCCCAAAAGGGTATCCAATGAAAGCACATTCCCTGGACCTTCTATCAAATTTATGTCTACCATTGACAAGAGTTGATGCATAGGCCAAGCATCCAAACACCTTAATGTGAGCATAATTAGGTCTGACCTGGAATAGAACTTCAAAAGGAGTCTTGTGATTTAGGACATGTATTGGTGTTCTATTTATGAGATATACAACCGTCAATATAAAATCATTCCAGTACTTCAAAGACAGTCCACTTTGAAACTTCAAAACTCTTGCTACATTCAAAATATGTTGGTATTTTCTTTCTACGACGGCATTTTGTTGAGGTGTCTCAGCACAAGTCCTTTGGTGTATTATTATTATTTTTAGTTAAAAATTTGTCATGTTAAATTCCCCACCATTATCCGTTCTAATGGTTTTGATATTTGTTTCAAATTGAGTTTCTACCATGGCACAAAAATTTTCTAAGGCAGAGGTTGCATCAGATTTAAATTGCAGCATATAAGCCCATGTACATCTACTAAAATCATCAACAATGGATAGAAAATACTTAGAATTATCTTTGCTGAATTCATTACAAGGTCCCCAAATGTTACAGTGAATTAAATCGAAGCATTTTTTAGCTTTGTGCTGCTTAGTATAAAATGGTAACCTATGTTGCTTTGCTAAGGGACAAACAGGGCAATGACTGATGCTAGATGGTGCAGAAATATAAAGGTTTTGATAAGGACTGAACTTAGATTATGAAGAGTGACCTAATTTGTAGTGCCATAAACTAGATTCTTGATTAATTTTGGTAACAGATGCAAAAGAAGTTGGTAGATGCTTGAACTGATTGATGGTTTCTATCAGGGCCGAAGGAGAGACTTCCTTTCTCACCATGTGGTACAATCCATCTTTCACCTCACCCATTCCAGTCATTCTCCATGTCGAAAGGTCATGTACATAACAACAGTTTGAGAAGAAAACAAGACAACAGTTAAGAGATTCAGTGAGTTTCTTTGCAAAAATCAGATTGAAGGTAAGACTAGGAATGCAAAGTACATTGTGTAAGGTAATATTTTCTGAGAGTTTTACAGTCCCCATATGTGTAGCTGGGACATTTTCTCCATTCGGCAGAGCCATAGAATGTGTTATATTAGATTGGATGGATGCAAAAAATGAGGTAGAACTGATCATGTGATCTGTTGCTACTGTGTCGAGAATCCATGGAGTTTCAAGATCATTTTTATGATTGTGATTGAATGTGGTTAAACTTAAAGGTATACCAAACAATTTATGATTGAAGTCATCTGATAAGGAGTGATTTGTAGAGGCTTGGACATTGTTTGAAGAGGTAGGATGCTGATAATTTGTTGTTGGCTTGAGGAGTGCCATCAGTTGGGAATATTACTCTTGACTTAATAACATTTGACCCTTGTCTTTCACTACCGCCTGATTAGAAACCATATTAGTTGCTGATTTTCCTTTATCATTGAACTTGTTCCCCTGTGGAAAGCCATGAAGCTTATAGCATTTGTCAACTGAATGTCCAGACATCTGATAGTAAGAGCACAATGGCCTGTTTGGATTTGCCTTGAAGCATCTCTTAAGGGAATGACCTGTGATTCTGCGATGGCTGCAATAATACCTGTCCTTGTCTTTCTTTTGTGATGAAAAACTTTGGTTTCCTGCCTCTCTGAAATTCCTTTTGCTTAGAAAAACCATAGAATCAGAGTTGACAGAACTAGAGTTTGATATTTCTCGCCTTTTCTCCTCTTGTTGGATCAAGGAGTATACATCATTCAAGCTAGGGAATGGCTTAATCAATAAAACTTGAGCCTTAATTTCTTTATAGGACTCATTCAGCCCCATTAAAAACTTCATGACCTAATCCCTTTGTTGGTTTTCGATCACTATCTTCAAGCCCCCACAAGTGCAGCTGAGAATGATCTCATGGTTCAGCAGCTAGTCCAGTAGGATTTTGAGTTTTGAGTAATAAACACTTACAGAGTCTTGGTTTTGCATCAAGTTAGTAATATCCTTTTTAACTTCAAAAATGCGTGGAGCATTTTGTTGAGAAAAGTGCTGCTCAAGATCAATCCAAAGGAGATGAGCTGTTTCAGCATAAATGGTGCAGCCCTTGATATCAATTGCCATGGCGTTCTGCATCCAAGTGATGACGATGTCATTGCATCTTAACCAATGCTCCATCAAAGGGTCATTAGGATCTTCAGGTCCACACAAAGTACCATCAATGAATCCTAGTTTGTTTTTTATTCTTAGTGCTCTCTTCATTGATCGAGCCCAGGAATAGTAGTTGTTGGATTCCAGAATGTGAGTAACCAGTATAACAACACCTCCATCATTGCTGTCGATGTAGTAAGGGCGGTTGGGATGCGTTGGATTATGAGGGAGAACCATCAAATTTCTGTAATCAGCTTGCTGTGGATTTTGAGTGGGACATCATTGCTGTCGATGTAGTTAGGGCTGTTGGGATGCGTTGGATTATGAGGGAGAACCATAAAATTTCTGTAATCTGCTTGCTGTGGATTTTGAGTGGGATTTGGATTAGTGTTTGAATCAGTAGGTGAATTTGATCCTCCCATTTCATTCTCTGATACCATATTAGATTTGGAAAGATAGAGTTATGATAAAATCAATTTGAGGAGAATCTGAATTTTGTATGCAATTATGCCGTGAATAATTGTTATGAATTATACAATGAGCTGTCCACGGGCGGAGTTAGCACATCAAAGTAGGGGGGTCCGAGAGTTGAAGGGGTGGGGGCTCA